CAGGAGCCAGATATACATACAGGAAGAAGGCAGTGCTCTATCTGTATTCTATACAAACACTGGTGGGCAGAGGCTGCGAGAGAGGGCCAGAGGAAGGACAGCAGAGGAGACAGACTGGCAACACATTCTTGTTAGTGTCCTGTTTGATTGCTGAAGCATTAATTGATAAGATACAACATGAGTCACACCACTTATCTTTAAAGAAAGATACCCCATTATCTCGTGGACTACAAGACACACGTATATGACAGGGAGATCAAAGAATTTTTCAAAGCGGGCTTTTTTTTGGCTACTTTGATATTTCTCAGTTGGAGCACAGATATGAAGTTAATGACTCCTTTCACCAGCCTGTGATCCTGCAGCTCACAATTGCATTGATTTGCTGGTAACACAACTGAAAAAGTAACCCAGTTGTTGCATGAAATTACAACTTCAGTTAATCTAACCATTACTGCAATGACCTCCATTGCATCAAAACTGGTTTTTCAGTTTGCAGCAGTGAAAGCTACTATCCCGTTCACACACACATGGACACACCCTTTTCTCCCCCCAGCAGTAGGCAGCTCGAGGGGGGAGTCGGGGGGAAGCCTCTTGTGATCAGCCTGTCATTTCCTCTGGTTGGCTCTGTTATTCCAGAGAGCCTTTGTGAAGGAGCCAAGTGGCCCAGGCACAGACAGAAGGTGGGCTCCTCACATGCATCTGAGGTTGTCCGCCCGGCAGGGGAGGGAGGTGCTCCTGGCAGGCCGGGACAAGGACAAAACAAACATGGAGCTGAAACAAGACAGTGACATCAAATCCCTGCTGATGAATACACTTAGACTGTGAGTCAGAGCTGATTTGCATTGTTGGTGCAATAACTAAATGAAGGATTAACCTGGATGACGCTGACATGTGTTGACAGCGTCGCTGCAGATGTTGTGATAAAATTGAAGGCTATTATAGGCATCAGAATCTAATAATGCAATTTTGACAAAGATGTGCGTGAAAAGGCGTGTCTCCCAAAAGGCCATCAGAAAAAATAAATCAAACAATGAAAGTACTACAGAACATAAAAACATATTTTAACTGTTCCAAAGCCTCCAAAAACATAGCTAATAACACAAATTTAACTTTGCTTGATTAGGATATTCTGATTGCCATAATTGCCATAATAAACACAAACCAAAAAAGCTGCAACACCTGTAGAGACAAGAAGTCACCCCACGAATCCTAAAAATATGTGCTTCCTCCGGAGGGCAGCTCAAAATATGAGAAACTTTCTCTGTTCCTTCTTTATTGAAAGTAAGTTATGACAAAAACTCACTGCACTGACCACAAGTTTCACTTCCTCCTCTGTTATCACTGTACACAGAAAAATGTTTGCACTTGTGACTTCAAAGCAAATTGTACTCAGTGTTTTTCTATCAACTCCATGTTGTGCTGACGAAGTCATCAGACTATATCAGAGTAAAAAGTGCAATATTTCATTGAAGTTTTGCTTTTAAAATGCTGTATTTAAAAAAAAAAAACTACAACAACACAACATTGCTAAAACAAAATTACGTTTCACTGACAAACTCGTATAAACCTACAAAAAAAAGACAAGTTTGAGACACGTTCATCGACTTCAATAGGATCAGTTTTGCTCCAGGTTCGTACCAGATGAATGTACAGGAAAAACACATGTCAGAATATACAATTGCAAGTTACAATGACATTTTATACATGCATGTACCAGCAACTCTTCTTCCTTAGAATCTGTTCATCATTCTGCACTATGATTTATTACTGGCAATAGTTCAAATAGTCATTATTATAAGCTGTAAGCTAAGGTTGGGTGGCTCTGTCTCTCTGTAAAGTGTGTGTGTGTTTTGTTCTTTTTTAAAGCTCTTGCTCATTTTTTAATCCCTTATAGAACTTCATTGCTGTCTCTTAATATTAGTCTTTACCGAACACACTCAAATGGCTAGATCATGTTGAAGGTAGCTGCTGTTTTTACTGAACTTGAAAAGTCTAGTTTTACAAACTGTGCACTGTTTAAGCCTCCACTTTGGTCTTATTTTACCTCCAGCTTTTCTTGCTTTAGTTCATTAATTTGCTTTAAATTTTAATTCATTTTTCCTGATGGTTTTATTATTTCACAAATGTTGCCTTTTTTTTTTAACATATATATATTTTATTATAAGGATACCATCATCTTTTATTTATTTCCTTACTCAGCTATATTGCAAATGAGACCTCAATAAGTCAGTCCATTCCAAGTTTAGATAAAGATTGAATGAATGAATGAATGAATGAATGAAAATTGATGTTAAGTTGTACACAAGGAATACTTTTTTCCTCTTCAAATTTCTGTGCTTATGTAGGTTACAAGTTGGGTTTATTTATACCCACTACCAGAAAGTAACTAAGTACATTTACTTAAGTACAATGCTTCAGTGTGGTTTGAGGTTATTGTATTTTCCATTTTATGCCATTACCTAATTTTACTGCACCAAGTTTAAGAGTTTAATATTGATCTTTTGACTGCACTTTATTTGGTTAACAGGTCATTCTTGTTCATCTGACATCCCTATCATTGAAGTCCTGATATAGTGTCAAAAATGTTGGGGCATTATTTTACTGTCAGTGAAAGTCTGATCTTTTCAAAACATGTTTCTATTGAGTGTTTCACTACACAGATTTTTTTTTTCAGCTTCACAGTCTGATCTTTAGCAGGGACATTATTGTGTGTTTGGATGCTTCTCATCACTACGTTTAGAATCCAACCTCTGGAATCATTAAAGCAACAACAGTAATATGGCAACAGACAGCCAAGTGGCAATGAAAACATATGTTAATATTTTTATTGTAAATGCTGTAGTTAGATAAGTTATTATTACACTGTGGACAGTTTTTCAGTGTTTCTGTCAGTGATACAGACAGGAGATTTGTTCTGATTATTGTTAGTTATTTTTGGGTGATGTTGTGGTATGAGACATTATGGGTGAACTTTTTCCCTCAGCAGCACCTGCATCTCTTCTCCTGGACTGTTTAAAAGAGGTGGTCAACCAAAATTACTATTAAATTAAAATAATGAAAACAAGTATTTCTTTGGTACACTTGTAATTATAGCCTGATAACACATATAAGTAAGACATACATTCTGAGAACAGCTGCTCTATCCTGCACTCACTGTAGTGTTAATGTGGACTGAGCACAAAAAGGCAGTAGGATGACCTGACTTTGCCAGGAGCAGTGTCTCACTTTTTATTTTAATTTAACCCTGAGATAACTTGACATTGATCCTGTTTTGGGTTAAAATCTAAAAACTGCAGGACTGGGCTAAGCCCTCATTGTTTTAGATCCACACCAGTGGGTCACCTGTGAAATTTTATGCACCAACACTAAATCCTTTTTTTGCATCAATTTATGGTGGAGATGGTTTTTTTTTTTGTTTGTTTGTTTGTTTGTTTTTTTACCTGTTCTGTAAAGCAGCTTGGGCAAATAGTGTGATAGTTCTAGATGTCCAATCAGCAGATTTGCTCTGTGAAGGAGAAATCTGAGATACTTGTCCTGTAGCATGAATATATATTTTATTTCTTATTTTGTGAGATGACTGGACCAGAAAAGGAGGGTAAAGAACAAAGATAAAGAAGAACAGCACAAGAGGGATGTGGGGACAAGAGAAAGGACCAGGCAAGGGGAGAACATGACAACAACAACTACATGGAGAACACTACATCATCAGTAAACAACTACTGGAGTTACAAGCTGTGAGACAAACGGATATAATTATTAATACAACAATAGTAATGGGACTTGTTTGGTTTTTTAAAAAAATGCAACTTACTTGGCCAATCGATGCACAACTGTGAATTACAACATCACTGATAATAGTAATGATTCTAGTTTTAGAAAGTTAGTGTATCAAAGTTATATCAAATACACGTGTGTGTGTGTGTGTGTGTGTGTGTGTGTGCATGTGCGTGCGCCTGTGTTTGACCCTGGAGCCCAGTTTTAGTGGGAGTCTACCGTGGAGATATTTTTTTTGTGTGTGTGTATCAAGGCAAACACCATGAGTAAATGTTATCATGGTTTTTCATGATTTTATTCAGTGGGACAAATCAAAATAAGAATCAATTTAATTGTTAGTCTGGTTTTCACATAAAAGCAAATTTGGTGTTTTGGTGCCTAATAGTAAACACTGACATGTAGACATGCTTTAAAGAATAGGATGAAATATATATTTTTAAACGCACGTATTGCAAGTCAATCAAATGATAGGAGTTGTTTTTTTTTAAGTAGTAGAAGTATTTATAGTGTGCAGGAATATAAAAATGATTCTCCCAGAATTTGCAACAAATGCACATGCTTTAAATGCTGAGGGGCACATACAGTCATCCTCAAATGTATTCATCCCCTCCCATTAAAGAAGGAAAAATACAGCTGCCACTGAAACAAGGTGAAATTGACAAAAGTAATAATAAATTTTAAAAAATTAATGAAAATCACGACTGCTTTTGAATTCACATGATCAACAGAAATGTATAAACAACAACAGCAAAAAACAACAACAGTAAACAAGCATGATGGGACCCGTAACCTAACATTTGTTGATCAACCCTTTGATCAATCAATCGCTGCAATCAAGTGTTTTCTGTAACTCTCTATCAGACTTCTGCACTTGTAGACAGGTATTTTTGCCCACTGCTCATCAGCAAAGTGCTCTAATTTGTCCAGGACAGTTTTATTTTATTTATTTTTTATTTTTAAAATTATTCTTTTCAACCACAATTCAAAAGCAATGCCTTATGTCTCTAAATTATAATTTTGCAACTTTTATTTATTATTACTTTTTTCATTTTATACTTATTTGAGTGACTATTGTGAATTTTGCCTTTTCTTTAATGGAAGTGTATGAATACATTTGACTGTGTCCCTCTGGTATCTGCACTTGTGCACATCTGTATGCAGCGGTGGATCTGAGTGTTGAAGCAGGTCCACAGCGTCCTCTAGCGGCCGCTGCTCGACCACAGTCCAGCTCACAATGACGTGACTGTCACATAACACCGCTGCTCGGGGACAGGAGACGGACACCTCCTCGCTGTCTATAATTAGATGTCTAACCTGCACAAACAAATCCTCCGCTGTGCCTCGCAGAAAACTGAAATCATCGCAGGGGGGAGGACGGTCAGCTCTCAGGGATGGCCTCGGTGAAGAAGGACAACAGGCTGACGAGCTCCCAGAGCTTCCTGTGCGTCGGTTTCTCCGGGGTTTTCAGCAAAACTGTCACCTCACCTCTGGAGGTAGTTAAAATTAAAAGCCAGGTGGGCACTTTTCACTGCAAGAAAGGTTTCTGGCAGAGTTTCCTCATCATCTACCAGAATGAGGGACTTCGAGGGTTTTGGAAAGGAAACCTCGCTTCTTGTCTGCGGCTGTTTCCTTACACCGCTGTTCATCTCACAACATACAAAAAGTAAGTGAAGCTTCAGGCTTATTGTACTTTCTGTCTCATTATATACACCGAGCAGCACCTTCTGTGGCAGTTTTAACCCACATTTGTTCTAAATTAGCTTGTTAGCCAACTTGGTCAGCTGACTTAGCAAGTTTGTGTGATGAACAGTTTGAAAAACGGATTAAACAAATTAACTTCTGTAGCAGAACGAGTTTGGTATTTACGTTATTGTTTAATGTATGACAAGATTAAACAACAAAATGATTCTTTTAGTTTGTTTATTTTCATTCCTGCAGCTATAGATCCACTTCCTGTTTTACCACACGACGCGTAGCTTCAATTTTTTAGCCAATCAGAAGGCTGCATCCGCTCAGTCGATACACAGCGTGTTTTTAAAGTGACGGAGGTAACTGAGCCCTGACGCTTGTCTTACAGGTAGTCTGAGCTAGACTCATTAGTCCTGAGGTGCAAAACTCATGAAACACGACAATTAACACAACATTCAAGTCACTTCAGTGTTAAATTCTATTAATCATGTTTTGTTTTACTGCGTTTTGTACCTCAGCACCTGCTTGCAAGAAGATGAAACGATTAGTTGCTTAATCAATTGAGAGAAAAATGATCTGTTTTCAGTTTCAGTCATTCAGTCTTTATTGAGAACATTGAGGTACGAAGGCCTCATTCACAATGTAGCCGAGTGAGAAAATAAAAGATGTAGGCACACAAATAAGGAACCCAGACAACAATAACAATGTTTAAAGACAAAGTTAGTAAAGTACTAAAAACCATTTCTAATTAGATTATTTAACTATTAAAAAATAATAATAATAATAATGATTTCACTAAGACAAGAACAGTTGGATATATAATAAGAACCTATATTGCCCAAAGGATGAATTTATTTCCAGCTTTAGATTCTTCTGCAGCTTATTCCAGGCTTACACGGTGCGTAACACTGAACTGTCCCAACTCGGTAAAAACTGCTGGAACCTGCAGGTGTATTCCAGTCGCTTGAATGTGTTCTGTATGGGCCCACAATAACAGTTTTGATTAGGCTAGAACTTAGCATGTTTGTTTCATACTAGTTAATGTGCTGATTATTTTTCTTAAAATAATTATAATAGCATTCTCAGGAAATTGTTAGTCAACAATCAAAGTTTTGGCCCAAAACATTAACATATTCCCTTTCCTGTCTACATTTAAAACACAGTTCAGAAGCTAAAACTCAGAAATATTTGGTGTTAAAATAGCATGATCTGTTATCAAAGTGGATCCACAGATGTTGATTGACTTAATGATTATCTGACTAAAGATTTTAATAAATTCGATAGATATTGTGTAAACAATAGAATAATAACTGATTTTAAAGACCAGAGAATGATTTCTCTATTCCGCCCCATTCATATGAATAGTTGTTGTTCATATTTGTGAATCTGTGACAGCAAAATGAGTATCTTTGGGTTTGTTATGGTCATAGTATGACAATATAATCAATTGTTTTTTCTTTTTCTTTTTGCAAATGATTGATATCAAATTTTAAAGAATTAATTGCTGACGAAAGACAAGCACAACTGTAATTTAAACATATAAACAGTATGTTACTGTTTCCACTGATAGCAGTTAAGACGTTGGTTTCGTTTTGACAGTCATAGGGGACATAAACAAGTCATTCAGTGTCAGAGGAACTTGCGCCTGTGAGGCAGAACTCAGGGCACAGACCTTCCTTCAAATCCCTCAGGTTACTACCGGACAAAACGTGCTGCAGTGCTGACAGCATGGCAGATCATTAAATAAACATTCTGGGAAGTGAGTAGTAGTAAAGACAACAGCAATTCAGTATACAGTCATAAAGTCGCTATCTGGGGTCAGTGAACTTTAACGAAACTAACAGAGGGGAGGCTCCTCTCAGGCCTGAAGACACGTGTGTGACTGTAAACACCACATCCTGACTGAGCACTGTCCTGTTCAGTACACTGTGTTCCAGGAAAAGAAAGCTCCTCTCTGTCTTAGTCACACGCATGGCTTTAGTTATTCATGTGCTCCCCTGTAGCAGACTTCCTTTTAATGTCCTGTAAAATAATTACTTCCTCATGATGGATGTCTGCAGAGAGATTCTTATTACTCACTTAAATAATAGGACCTGCCCAAATGCCCTGAGCGCAGTTAATATTATTTGCACGTACACAGCAAAAACACTACATGGAAACACTGGTGTGACGCATTAATAAACAAGGCACCTTTCGATATATTGAACAGGGCCTGCAACTAAATTAGTTTCTTTACTTATTAATGCATTAGTCTATAAATCAAAATGCATGAATGAAACTGGAAATAAATCTCCATCATACTTTCCTA